AGCCCTGTTACCTAGTCTAATAAAGATATCAAGGGCCAGGAAGATGGCTCAGTAGAATAAGTGCTTCCCTGTCAAGCCCAAGGGCCCGAGTTCAATCCCCAGTTCTGAAAAAAAAAAAAAGAAAAAATATCAAGATAGATATTTTCACATGCATAATCACTATATATGGCTGGCCCAGGAATTGGCCATTTCTAGGGATTTTTTTAGAGTAAAACCATGTGGTAAGGCTAAGGTGGAAAACATGGGAACTCACACATGAGGTGGGCCAAAACTATGGTCAACCAATAAGGTTACAAGCACAAGTACTCAGGTAAAATTGATTAAATCCAGGACCAAATGGGGAATCAAGTCACATAGGAAGCAGGCATGAATGCAGCACAAGAGTTAGTAGTAGCAGTTGGATTAGTGACTCTTCCTGGCTTCCTCAAGGTGATTATCAATCCTGGATGCTTATCTTTAGGGAGATAAGCATTTGTTGGATCTTTTGTCTTTAGGTCTGGCCGGCAGTGGGTGGGTCCATCTCTTACAATGGCAAGGTATCTTGTCTTCCATGCTGTCTCCTGCAAGGGCCTAGTCTGACTGCCTATGCTATTTCTAACTCAGCTGCCTATAATAAGAACATGAGTAAAGAATCTCTGACTATGCATCCCCTCTACCCTAACTATAGCTATGGATATAGAAGAGGGTTTTCCTGAGAAGTAAATCAAAACAACATGAAGTAAATTAATTGGGTCACCAATAATTTCCTGTGTTACCCAGGATTCCTCACAAGAAGTGCATATGTTCTTCGACAGTGACATTCTTAGTGATGTACATAGGGTCCAGTGTCCAATTTTTTTGCACTAAAAGCAGTAGTTTTAGTTGTCCTTGGGTATTCCTGTAGATATTTTGGGTTAGTTAAAGGCATTGCAGATTTTACCAGCTATAACCATAGCCTCTCTTTTGACCTTTCTCCAGATCCTGATTGTTGAAAATAGAAGCAGCTGTGTCTGAAAATTAGGTGATAGGTTTCTGGGTTCCTATCTGAATTTACTTCACTAAACAGATGGGAGAGACCCATATCCACATGACAGGGAGCATAAAGAGCCCTTCCTGGTCCTCATCACAGTCCAGGAAGTTTATATTTGTAATCCCATGGAAGGTACTGGAATTCTAGTGGATTAATTCCAATCTGCCACTTCTAGTGTAACCCATGGTAAGAATAAAGACAGTAAGGCATAGTGGCTGTAGGGAGCCAAGGGCTCCGAAATCCAGCTAGGATGATAGCTATCTGGAACAAAGGCCTTGACCCAGGGCCAAACCCAAGTTTTATTAATTTGTGAAGAAAGGAGGACTTGAGGATGATTGACTATTAGAATGGTGCGAAGTAGGTGAGTGCTGTGTTCTGGGCTAGGTTAGGAGGCCAGCATTCACATTCTGCAATATGCAGAGAGAAGGCTATGCAGAAAGATTAATCTGAGTAACACCATTGAGATAATAGTTAATGTTTTGGGGTGTGTGTTTCACTCTGATGTGTAATCTTTTTTTTTTTTTTGGAGGGAAGTAATATTTAATGTGTGATTAAACAAATAATGTTTATACTAAATTAAATCAATATAATTGGTAAAACAAGTGTGTTTTATATAGAAAGTACCTAATTACACACACATTTAAAAAGTATATTTTTAAATTATCACTATACACTATGATGCATAATCTTTCAAGCCCCAGAAAGTCATAGCCTCTATCCTGGAGGCTGTCTCCCAGCCTACAGCATGAAATACTGGCTCCTCATCCAGCCTTGGCCTAGCTTACACAAGTGAGCAACTGTGGGGGCTGTGAGTTCTGGAAAAACATGCCCTCTATCTTCAAAGATTACCATGAGCACCTTGGCTGGACTGATATGCATTACTTAAAGCCAGCTGAAAGGATTAGGGGGCCTGCAAGGTAGCTCAGCAGTCTAAATCACCTGCTTAGGCAAGCACAGGGGACAGCGGTTAGATCTCTAGGACCAAGTGCCACTCCAGCTCCGCCCTCAGGACAGGCTGAGATGCCCCTCCCCCCCAAAAAAAAATTAGGAAAAGTCCTAGCCAACTCTTGTACATATATATACATGGAAATGGGGTCAGGCTCAGACAAAATGGAGACAATTGTGCCTCTTTCAAGGAGGGTCACCCAGGTGCTCCTCCACAGGGAGTACCTGAGGACAGGATCATCATTGGTATCTTTCTATGTCTTAGTTACTTTTCTCATTGGTGGGACAAATTACCTGATTGATATCCAAAGGTAAAGGAGGGGGGCTGGGGAGATGGCTCAGTAGACTAAGCACTTGCTTGGCAAGCACAAGGGCCTGAGTTCAATCCCCAGTTCTGCAAAAAAAAAAAAAAAAAAAAAAAAGGTAAAGGAGGAGAGTTTTATTTAGCTCATGGTTTGTAGAAGTTTCAGTTTATATTTGGCTGGCTCCAAGGCAGGTTGGCATGGCAGACAGGTATCACAGAGGAGAAGCCATTCATAGCAGGCACAAGGCAGCAAGGCAAGCAACAAGCCCTAATAACAGCTCCTTTCTGTTCTTTTATATTCTATTTAGGCTGGGTAGCACTCACATTCCAAACTATGAGGATCGGTGGACTAATTTACTAATCACACATCCTTGATCTTAGTAACACACACTGTACATCCAGCCACCTGTGAGAAGACCCCTCCATCCCTCCACTGTGACCACATGAGGCCATGGCGAAACCGCTAGACCCAAGAGATAACACTCTCTTCCTTGTGGGGGAGGGATCATTCTGGTCTAGGGGAATGAAACTACCAACCTGAAAGACACCTAGGATGAGTTCAGTTCATGTTCTCTAAAACCAAAGAATGAATTTAGGAACAACAGATGTTAAGTGCAGAATATATTTATTGGGGAAAGAAAGTTTCTGGTCAGGACAGGGATAGAAGGGTACCCAAGCGGGTTGCCAAGGCCTTTTCTAGGAATTTTTATAGAGCAAAACCACGAGGTGAGGTGGGTCTAAGGTGGGAAACATGGTAACTCACTAGGTGGGCATGAGGTGGGACAAAACTGTGGTCAACCAACAAAATTACAGGCACAATTGCTCAGGTAAAATTGCTCAAATTGTGATCAAATGGGGGAAGCAAGTCATGAAGCAAGCTGGCATGAATAGAGCAGAGGCTCTTCCTGTAGGGGTTGGGTTAGTGACTTGCCCTGGCTTTTTTTTTTTTTTTTTTACAAGAAAATGTGTCAGATATTCAATGTCAAAGATTGCTAATATGATAGGGTGAAAAAAAAGACTCTTCATTTTTTCTGTAATTTTAATTTTATTGATGTCTGTTTTAGCAATTAAAACTGGACATATTTAAGATGTACAGGTTGATTATTTGATACACATAGATAGATAGGCAATAATCACCAAAATGAAGCCAGTTAATATATCCATCATTGAGACTATATTGCCCTGGCTTTTTCAAGGTGATGGATACCTACTTAGAATATCAATCCCTGATTTCCATCTCTAGGAAGATAAGTTGGTGCATTTGTTTACTCTTTTATCTTGAGGTCTGGCTCACAGCAGGAGTGAGTGGCCTCTCTCACAGGTGCAAGGTCATCTTTCTTCCATACTGGCTCCTTGAGGGCCCAGCCCTGTCTGACTGCCAGTAATACTCAGCTGCCTATAATAATTCTAAATACCATGATTTCTTGGGCATTTCTTTTGATAAAAGATCACAAAACCTTGAACATCAGAGATTTCACTTCAACTACTGTTTCAGTTGGAAACAAATTAACTGAAAAATAATCTCATGATTTATACTATCATCCCATACCCATGTCTTTCCATTTTCTACCTCTCACTGAACCTATGTGACAAAGTTGGTGGAATCTACTGGGTGTGGTTCATAAATTTTTCCAAGACTCATTTTGGGGCTTATAGAGAGTGAGATATCCAGGTCTTGGGTCCTTTAAAATGACATTCATGGGGCCGGGGAGATGGCTCAGTGGAATAAGTGCTTCCTTGGCAAGTGCAAGGGTCTGAGTTCAATCCCCAGTTCCGGAAAAAGAAGAAAAAAATAAAAATTAAATTAAAAATAAAATGGCATTGAGGGGCTGGTGAGATGGCTCAGTGGTCTAAAGCACCTACTTAGAACAAGCTTAGCAAAGCACAGGGATCACGGTTCAATTCCCCAGCACCACATGCCAGCCAGCCCCACCCCCTGGTGGGTTGAGCTGGCCACACACACACACACACACACAAATAAATTTTTTTAAAAATGGCATTCAATGCAGAAGGAGGAGACCCATTGTTCCCATCAAGTGTTCTTTGTGAGACTCAAGGAGTTACAAGACAGATTCCTCTGTCTCAAACTACCATGATGTTAGCTTCTTTCATAGAAATGTCATTTTGAGCCACTTGATGACTATAGGTCTACTACATCTGTATCTTTGAGAAGGAATCCCATACAGAGGCAAGAAACCTGATGAACCCATGAAGTGTCCCTTGTGTGATGTTGTAAAGCCCAAAGAATTTTTATTTTTAAAGTTTAAACTCCAGTCAAAAGAGACCACCCACCGGCTCCTGACCATAGGACTTGAGTAACCCATGCTCCAGAAACACCAGATGGAGTCATAAAACCTCAGGCCAAACTTAAAAGAACATTGCCTCCAGGCTTAGGACATTCTTGTGAAATAGGTTACAATGTTCAGTCAAACCCACCCGTTCTCGGAATACCCTCCAAACCACAAAATTAGCTCATAGTTACCCTTTACCTACCCCCTTCTTAGTTTCCTTAAAAAGTCATACATTCAAACCCACCAATTATTTTAAGGGTCATCCTAAAACTAACCAATGCAATCTGCTTCTGTACACCGCTTGCTCCCTCCCACTTTTGTGGTTTCTGCCTTTAAAAACTATACCCACCATGCTTAAGGAGCGCTCTGTTCCTGCGTGTTCAGACCGCCCTGCGTGCACATAGACAATAAAGCTTGCCCTTTGTGATTTGCATGAGAGATTGACTCTTAGGGCCTTCCTTTGCGGCGACTCGACCCTTACATTTGGGGGCTCGTCCGGGATCGTCTCCCGTGTGAGAGGACCCCAATGGCCGAAGAAACCTCTCGGGGTAAGTACGGCCGTTTGATTTTATGTCCGGATTTTGTTTCGTTTTTGAGTCTCTTGTTTGTTCTGGTTGGTGAACATTCAATCTGTTTTGTAGTGACTGGGAACAAAACGTGTAAGTGTTGCGATCCCCGTGGCACTATGGTTCAAGGCGTGTGAGCCCTTGAATCGTTCCCTCTTCCTGATGGTGTTCCGGGATTAGGTCTGGGCCACAAGTCACATTTGGCCGGCATTTGTCTATTGGTCCTGACCAGCGGCGAGGAGCGTAAGCACTCGCTGCCCGCGATTGGCAGACGTGCCTGTATTCGCAGGTCATTCAGCCAAGGGACGCCTTGGTGTGGTGGATCCTTGGATCCACCGTGGACGTGCCCTCCAAGAAGGAGGGACTTGTATGACCAATAGATTTTGTTGGGTACCCGCCTGTGTTTGTCCGTCATATTTGTTGTGTTTATTGTTTGTGCGTCCGGCGCCATAACTACCTTTTCCTTCTCTTACAACACTGGCAATATTTCCTTTGTTAATGACTATTCTCTCCTCAGTGGGATCCCCCTCCCGCCGACATCCTTCACGTGTTGCTGGTTATTTGTTTGCAGCATATTTCACTGTTTTCGCCTTCCTCTGTCCCTTTGGAGTTCTGTGGGACGTTGGTTATTTTGATAACATGGGACAACCAGTGTCTACTCCTCTTACTCTTACTCTAGGTCATTGGTCAGAAATTAAAGAGAGAGCGCACAATCTCTCCCTTAATGTGAAGAAGAAAGAATGGCAAACTCTGTGCTCTTCAGAATGGCCGTCCTTTCAGGTGGGATGGCCCCCAGAGGGATCCTTTTATCCATCCCTGGTACAAGCGGTAAAAACTGTAATTTTCCATCCAGGTCACCACGGCCACCCGACCAACAACCCTATATTTTAACCTGGCAAGATCTCTATGAAAACCCACCAGGGTGGGTAAAACCTTTCCTTCCTCCTGCTTCATTTCAGACTGCTCCTCTCTTACCAGCTAAGATTCAGCCCTCCTCTTCCAGCCTCTATCCATCCCTGCCACCCCCGGTTCTTCCAGAATCTCAAACTGACTTAATCCATCTCGATCTAGAGACACCTCCACCTCTATATGCGCCCATTCCGCCTCCACCTGCTGCTTCTCCTGCGGCTCTATCTTCGCCTGCTACCTCTCCTGCAACTTCTCCTCCTCCTGCATCCCCCGAGCTTGAATCTTCATCGGAGGATGATCACGGGCCAGCACAGGGAACTCGAGGAGCCCATAACAAGCAAGCAAAGAGTCCACAAGAAGTGGCCAAGACTCTTCCACTCCGGCCATATGGGCCGATGATTGACAACGGCCATGGAGGAGAAATGCCAACACTCCAGTATTGGCCATTCTCCACCTCAGATTTGTATAACTGGAAAAATAATAATCCCCCTTTTTCCGAGGACCCATCTAGGTTAACGGCGCTGCTGGAGTCACTTATGTACTCTCATCAGCCCACTTGGGATAATTGTCATCAATTGTTGGGGACCCTATTTACCCAGGAAGAGAGAGAAAGAATCCTCACAGAAGCCAGAAAATTGGTTCTGGGACCGGGCGGTGTTCCTATTCAGATGCCAAACCTCATTGATGACGCCTTTCCCCTGCGCCATCCGGACTGGGACCCAAATACTCCTGGAGGTAGGGAGCATCTGTCCATCTATCGCCAGACTCTTATGGCGGGTTTCAAGGTGGCTGTGCGCCGACCAACCAATTTGGCTAAGGTAAGAGAGATTAATCAGGGGCCTAATGAATCACCCTCAGCCTTCCTAGAAAGAATAATGGAAGCTTATCGCAGGTACATTCCTCAGGCTGAGGGACTACAAGGGTCGGTTGCTATGACCTTTATAACCCAATCGGCCCTAGATATCAGAAAGAAGCTCCAACACTTAGATGGGTTACAAAATTCTACCTTAAGGGATTTAGTGAAGGAAGCTGATAAAGTGTTTTATAAGAGAGAAACAGAGGAAGAGAAGGAAGCACGAAAGGCGAGAGAAAGAGAAGAAAGGGAAGAGGAAAAAGAAAAGAGGAATCTAGAGAGGGAAAAAGAAAGGGACAAAAGACGAAATAAAGAGTTAGCTAAAATCTTGGCTACTGTAGCACAGGGAAACATAGATAAGAAAAAGTCACGCTGCCCTTTGTTAAAACCCAACCAGTGCGCCTATCGTAAGGAACTTGGACATTTCGCCAAGAATTGCCCAAAGAATCCAAACAAACTACCTCAAAGGCGCCAACCAGCAATGTTGGCCCTAGAAGAAAATGATGATTAGGGGGGACGGGGCTCGGTTCCCCTCCCTGAGCTCAGGGTAACCTTTGATGTGGAGGGGACTCCAATTGACTTCGAAGTAGACATGGGCGCGGTATTCTCTGCCCTCCAAAAACCACTTGGACCCCTGTCCAATCAAAGAACCTTAGTCCAGGGAGCAAACGGCAGCAGATACCGAGCCTGGACTACAAAGAGAACTATGGACTTAGGAAGAGGAAAAGTACAACATTCTTTTCTGGTCATACCTGAATGCCCAGCTCCCTTAATGGGAAGGGACTTATTAACCAAATTAAGGGCCAGGATAACCTTTGAGCCTCAGGGGCCCCAGGTAACTTTCCTTAACCCACTGGTGCATCGGCCTACAGCAGCTATGCTAACCATGGCCACTGAGGATGAATACCAACTCTATATGCACCCTAAAGACCCATCCATCCCTCAGAATTGGCTAACAGAATTCCCTGACTCATGGGCCGAAACTGCCGGATTAGGACTTGCTATCTCCCAACCACCTATAGTCATAACTTTAAAGGCATCGGCTACCCCAGTCTGCATTAAACAATATCACATAAGTAAGGAAGCTCACCTGGGAATAAAAGGACATATCCAAAAATTTCTAACCCTGGGAGTATTAATACCATGCCAGTTGGCCTGGAATACTCCTTTGCTGCCAGCCAAAAAGCCTGGCACTGAGGATTATAGGCCAGTACAAGATCTGCGGGAAGTAAATAACAGAGTAGAAGACATACACCCCACGGTGCCTAATCCCTACAATTTACTCAGCACTCTGAACCCCGAAATAACTTGGTATACAGTGTTAGACTTAAAAGATGCCTTCTTTTGTCTACCTCTACACAAAGATAGCCAACCCCTGTTTGCTTTTGAATGGACGGACCCAGATATGGGAACAACAGGACAGTTAACGTGGACTCGTCTTCCACAGGGGTTCAAAAATAGCCCTACCATCTTTGATGAGGCCCTCCACAGGGACCTGGCTTCCTTACGGACTCAACACCCAGAGGTAACACTTCTCCAGTACGTAGATGACCTCCTGCTGGCTGCGGACTCAAAAACAAACTGTATGTATGGGACACGGGAACTTTTACAAGAGCTTGCCCTATTGGGGTACCGAGCCTTGGCCAAAAAGGCCTAAATCTATCAAAAAGAGGTTACCTTCCTGGGATATACTCTCAGAGAAGGAAAACGATGGCTTACAGAGGCAAGAAAAAAGACTATCACCCAAATCCCTCCACCTAAAAGCCGGAGACAGTTAAGGGAATTCCTGGGAACTGCAGGATTCTGTCGCCTCTGGATACCGGGTTTCGCTTCTTTGGCCGCCCCTCTCTATCCTCTCTTGAAAGGGGACATCACTTTCATCTGGGGCCCAGATCAACAAAGAGCCTTTGACGAAATAAAAAGGGCCCTACTGTCAGCCCCTGCCTTGGCCCTCCCCGATGTGGACAAGCCTTTCACCCTCTACATAGAGGAAAGGCAAGGCATTGCACGAGGAGTCCTAACTCAAACCTTCAGCCCCTGGAAGCGACCTGTGGCTTATTTGTCAAAGAGGCTAGACTCTGTAGCCAGCGGATGGCCACACTGTTTAAAGGCCATCGCAGCTGCTGCTATGTTGACCAAAGATGCGGACAAATTAACTTTGGGACTAAAGCTAACTATCTTAGCTCCACATGCTCTAGAGAGTGTTATTTGCCAACCTCCAGATCGACGGCTTTCCAACGCCAGAATTTCTCACTACTAAAGCCTCCTGTTGAATAAGGACCGAATATCGTTCGGTCCACCCACTACTTTCAACCCAGCCACCCTGCTGCCTGAAGAGACATCAGAGCCTGTTCTCCATACCTGCCAGGAGATCCTGGCAGAAGAAACTGGAATCCGCCAAGATCTCACTGACTTGCTGCTTCCAGACGCTGAGGTAACTTGGTACACAGATGGCAGCAGCTTCCTGCTGGACAGTAAGAGGCACGCGGGAGCTGCGGTGACCGATGGGACTCGGGTTATCTGGTCGTCAGGACTAAGAGAGGGCTCTTCAGCACAGTGGGCAGAACTCATTGCCCTTACTAAAGCTCTAGAACTGGCTGAGGGAAAAAGAGCAACTGTCTATACTGACAGCCGCTACGCTTTCGCCACAGCATACATTCATGGAGCTATCTATCAACAAAGAGGGCTCCTTACCTCAGCAGGAAAAGAAATTAAAAATAAACAAGAGATACTCAGGCTCTTGTCAGCCATCATGTTGCCACAAAAGCTGGCTATAGTACATTGCAACAGCCATCAGAAGGGCTCTAACCCCATTGTAAAGGGAAACAACCATGCCGATAAAGCTGCTAGGCAAGCAGCCCTAGATACTCCTACTGTCTTAACCCTGAAAACGGCCGAGTCGCCCGAACTGCCTACACCGCCCCATCTAATGAAGGAACCAGAGCTCCAAACTTACTTCCAACAGGTTCATAAGTTAACTCATTTAGGCATCAAAAAGCTTTGCCTCCTGGCCCAACATCAGAACACCAGCGAGCTCCCGCTATCCAAAATCTATAAACTGGCCAAACAAATTGTTGATGATTGTAAAACTTGTCAGCTTATTAACTCACGCCCCTCTAAATCTGTAAGAGGAACAAGACTACGAGGAGAGAGGCCCGGACAATATTGGGAAGTAGACTTCACTGAAGTAAAACCCGCTAAATATGGACTCAAATATTTACTAGTTTTTATAGATACTTTTTCAGGATGGACGGAGGCCTTTCCCACCAAGCGGGAAACGGCACAAACAGTGGTCAAAAAGTTAATGGAAGAAATTTTTCCTCGATTTGGCATGCCAAAGGTAATTGGGTCAGACAATGGGCCGGCATTTGTGGCACAGGTAAGTCAGGGAGTAGCCAAGGTAATGGGGATTAATTGAAAATTTCATTGTGCTTATAGACCCCAAAGTTCAGGACAGGTAGAAAGAATGAACAGAACAATAAAAGAGACCTTAACAAAATTAGTCCAAGAGACTGGCTTTAAGGATTGGACCATGCTCCTGCCTTATGCCCTATTCCGGGCTAGAAACACTCCAATGGCTAAGCCTCCTAACCTTACTCCGTTTGAGATCCTCTATGGTACCCCACCCCCAATACGAGACCTCAGTCCCTGGCCTAAAGACTTAAAAATGCCTCAGACCCCTCTAGCTGATAGACTCTTCTTGCTTGATCAGATCCAGTGTGTCTTATGGAGCCAATTGTCTACTGCCTATCAACCCAGTGACGAGCCAATGCCCCATAACTTCCACGTAGGAGACTACGTGTTCGTCCGCCGACGCCAGGTCGAAACCCTACAGCCCCACTGGAAAGGACCTTATCAGGTACTGTTGACTTACCCCCACTGCAGTCAAAGTTGGTTCAATCGATCCCCATGGTTAACAACTTTGGTAACTGCCTTGGCAGGACCACTAATACTTCTACTCCTTTCAATAACTATTGGACCTTGTATAATCAATAGAGTCATAGATTTCATTCGCACTCAAATTGGTAATGTTAAACTGATGATCATTCGGCAACAATATGAGGCCTTAAATATTAACGATTCCAATCTCTAAGATTAGAGATTCTCAACAGGAAAAGGGGGGAATGTAAAGCCCAAAGAATTTTTATTTTTAAAGTTCAAACTCCAGTCAAAAGAGACCACCCACCGGCTCCTGACCATAGGACTTGAGTAACCCATGCTCCAGAAACACCAGATGGAGTCATAAAACCTCAGGCCAAACTTAAAAGAACATTGCCTCCAGGCTTAGGACATTCTTGTGAAATAGGTTACAATGTTCAGTCAAACCCACCCATTCTCGGAATACCCTCCGAACCACAAAATTAGCTCATAGTTACCCTTTACCTACCCCCTTCTTAGTTTCCTTAAAAAGTCATATATTCAAACCCACCAATTATTTTAAGGGTCATCCTAAAACTAACCAATGCAATCTGCTTCTGTACACCGCTTGCTCCCTCCCACTTTTGTGGTTCCTGCCTTTAAAAACTATACCCACCATGCTTAAGGCGCGTTCTGTTCCTGCGTGTTCAGACCACCCTGCGTGCACGTAGACAATAAAGCTTGCCCTTTGTGATTTGCATGAGAGATCGACTCTTGGGGCCTTCCTTCGTGGCGACTCAACCCTTACAATGTGTTTACTAGACTGATGCTTCTGTCCAAAGCACTGGCATCTTTCATAGAAGGATATAAGGAAGCCCTACTGAGGGTTTTGTCTCCATACTAGAGCCCATCAACTCCTTAAGCAGAGGAGTTGAGCCTCTTGATGGCTCTACCTACTGCTTTAAAACTCCCATGAGATTAAATTCCTGTTTTTTTTTTTTTTTTTTTTTTTTTTTGTGGAACCAGGGATTGAACTCAGGCCCTTGCGCTTGCCAGGGAAGTGCTTATTTCACTGAGCCATCTCTCCAGCCCCTAAATTCCTCTTTTTTATTTGTGGTACCGGCATTCAAACTCAGGACCTTGTGCTTGGCAGGCAGGCACTTATGCCACTGAGCTATCTCCCTGGCCCCCTTCCCCAAGATTAGTGTAACATATGTACACAGCAGAGAGCACCAGGCTTGTGTAAGGACAACATGGTCTGACATTTATTGTGCCTGGCTTCAGGCAGAGAGTGCAATAAGACCTTCTGCCACGAATAAAGAGAAGTGTGTCCCTTTGTAGCGATATAGAGAAAAGGCAAGGCCATTAGGTGAAAGATGACAATGAATGTCTTCAGTTCAAGGTTTCTGGTGATCTTGCAGTGTGCAAGGTTCTTTAAAGTGTCTGTTGTTGGGGCTGGTGAGATGGCTCAGGGGTCTAAAGCACCTACTTAGAACAAGCTTAGCAATGCACAGGGACCACGGTTCAATCCCCCAGCAGCACATGCCAGCCAGCCCTGCCCCCGGTGGGCTGAGCTGGCCACACACACACACACACACACACACACAAATAAATAAATAAATAAATAAATTTAAAAAAATAAAAAAAAAAATAAAGTGTCTGTTGTAAATGTTTGGGTACCTCTAGATATCCTCAGTATGAAACTTTCCCTATCTTATTTCCTTTCTCTTTTTTTTCTTTTTGCGGAACAGGGGATTGAACTCAGGCTCCTTTCTTTTGTTTGCCAGTAACAGCCTCAGGTGCTGAGCTGCGTTCCTTGCAAGACAGTAGTGCTCCAGCAGGCAAGCAGGTTGTGGGCCGGGCAACTCAGGTCCACCTGGAGATTTATAGTTGGGGGGAAGCTTTCCCCAGTTGGATTCCTTTAGCTGCGTTAGTTGAGGGAGCCTCTTGATGGCTTTATGTATGCAGTGTGGAAGCACTTGAGAGACACCTCTTGCATTTGCCCCAGTAGTAAAAACTTCAGCGCTTTGTTCAAGGCTATAGAGATAGACTCACAGTCAACTAAGTGAAGCTTTACTGGCTGACCTTTTGTTCTGTTCAGACCATCTGGCATATGTCTCTAAATTACCCGCATCTCACTAGAGGAAACGGGAAAAGGATCTAAAATCAAATATGGCTGTGAATGATCCCAAATGGTGTCTAGCAAGGTTATAGGACAAGATGGTGGCCAGACATGATGAGCCAAGTTGTGTACCATGGTTACACAAAAGAAGCAGCTATCTAGGGGCATAGCATAAATGACACTCAAAGCACAAAAAGAAGTAAGCTGGGGTAGCTGGTGACTCAAGCAGGCTAGCAAATTAGCAATAGTTAGTTTTCACAAAAGAGTAAAAAAGCTGAGCAAAGTATCAACAACAGAAATGTGAGGACAACAGGACATAATCACAAGCTCTCTCCCTATTTAACTTGTACCCAAAGAGTGACCACAAGTTGGAAAAAGAAAGAAAGGGAAAGACAAACTTGAAGTGTTTATGCAGGTCTCTCATAGCTGAAAGGAAAACTCAGGCCTTGCATTCATTCCACCACTCCATGTGCTCGAAAACACAGGAAGCAGTTCCTGGCACCATGAGATGTCAGCTTAGGTGCCCAGCCTATTAGAGAGAGGGGGAAAAAATGAAACAAAGGGGCAAAAGAGTTTACCCTGCTGGCTACCTAGGGCAAACATCTTCCTGAGTTTGGAGGTGCTGGTGTTGTAGGTAGCTGAATTAGATAGAAATATTATAGGCAGTCACACAGGGCCTGGCCCTCAAGGAGACAATATGGAAGACAAGGTGACTTTGCAACTTGGAAGAGACAGAAACTCCCCTATGGGCCAGACCTCAAGACAAAAGAGGAAACAAATACAGCTACATATTACCCTAGGGATGGGCATCAGGGATTAATATTCTAAATAGGCACCAATCACCTTGAAAGAGCCCAAATGAGTCAAGAACCCAACCCCCAACAGGAAGAGACCCTGCCCTGTATTCATGCCCATCTGCTACGTGACTTGCTTCTTCATTTGATACTGGACTTAATCAATTTTCTTTTCTTTTCTTTTTTGGCAGAACCGAGGATTGAACTCAGACCCTTACGCTTGCCAGGGAAGCGCTTATTCCACTGAGCCATCTCCCTGGCCCTGGATTTAATCAATTTTACTTAAGCAGTGGTGCTTTTAACCTCTTTGGTTGGACTGGTGAGATGGCTCAGTGGTCTAAAGCACCTACTTAGAACAAGCTTAGCAAAGCACAGGGACCGCGGTTCAATCCCCCAGCACCACATACCAGCCAGCCCGCCCCCTGGTGGGCTGAGCTGGCCACACACACACACACACACACACACACAGAAAAATAAATAATTTTTTTAAAAAAATTTCATTGGTTGGCCATAGTTTTGTCCTACCTCATGCCCACTTAAGCATGTTCCCATGTCTTCTCCACCACCTTAGACCCGCCTCACTGCATGGTTTTCCTCTATAAAAGTCCCTGGAAGAGATAGCTTCCTGGGGACCACCCACTCGGGACCCCCCTCCTGTCCCTCTCTTTCCCCCAATAAATATATTCTGCTCATAACCTCCGTTTGTTCCTAAAATTCATTCTTTGGTTTTAGAGAACACAAACTTGCCCCAGGTACTTTTCAGGTCAGGAGTTTCATTTTTTCCCTGTATCATTTGGAGGTCATCCACCCGAGATCAGTTTTTCTCCCTGTATCACTGGGATGTCCTTTTTGAGGTGGTTTCTATGTTCTTTCTGTCCTGAATGAAGAGTTGGCCAAGACAAGCATAAATGATAGCAAGGTTTTATTAAAAGTAAGAAAAGCCAGTCAGGCATGGTGGCACACAGCTATAATCCCAGCACTTGGAGTCTGAGGCAGGAGGATCATTGTGAATTTGAGACCATATTTAAAGCAAGGACAAAAGTATTATACCTGGGGCCGGCCAGATAGTCCAACAGATGAAAGTGCCTGATTAGGCAGACACAGCAGCCAGAGTTTGATCCCCGGCACCACACACCCAGCCAGTCCTGCCTCCATGGTGTGCTGAGACAGTGACTGAGATCGGGCATGGTGGCACATGCCTGTAATCTCAGCGCTTGGGAGGCTGAAAACAGGAGGATCACTACAAGTCGGATCTGTGTAGTGAGACCCTGTAGACCCTGTACTAAATACATAAAATTATTCTAATAATACATTTTGAGTATTGAATTTGTTCATTTTAAGATATGACAAAGTGAGTAAGTTGTATAATTGTAACTCAATATTCTAGTGACAGTTGTTTCAAAAAAATCTAGTCTGTATATGCTAGAAGTTTTCAGTGTTGCTGAAAAAGGCTTGTTTGCTTCCCTGAAATGGATAAACTATTATTTTGCTGTCCACCTTTGCTTAAATCAAGTAGTTAAGTGTGGGTTTTAAATATCACTATGTTTTTACAGAGAAGCCTTGAAAATTTCATAGGGATTTTCCCACCTCAAGTACATTACATGTTTTCTAGATATAGAGTTTATACTTATAAAAAGTGGTGATTACAGTTTGTGGCACAAATTTGAAAAATAACATGACTTTAAAACTAGCGCAACCTGTATTAGTGAAATCTCCAACTGTGTTAGAGACTGCCCAAGCATTGTGTGAGCAACTAGGCTTTCATTACACTGGGCTATGAGTGGGCTGGGTCTGCCAAGGAGTCAACAGGGAGATGAGGGAGAACAAAGGCTTTAAAAGGAATGGGTGTATAACCATCTGCGAAATGCAAATCAAAACAACATTGAGATATCATCTCACCCCGGAAAGAATGGCTATTGGGGCCAGGGAGATGGCTCAGTAGGATAAGTGCTTCCCTGGCAAGCGGGAGGGCCTGAGTTCAATCCCCGGTTCCACGAAAAAAAAAAAAAAAAAGAAAGAATGTCTATCATAAAGAAATCACCCAACAACAAATGTTGGAGACACTGTGGGGAAAAAGGAATGCTTCTCCACTGCTGGTGGGAATGCAGACTAGTGCAACCATTATGGAAATCAGTGTGGAGACTCCTTAGAAAAGCTGGACTGGAAATCCCATTTAATCCAGCTATTAGTCTACTGGGAATTTTCCCAGAGGATCTGAAAACATCATATCATAGGGATATATGTGTACCTCTGTTTATAGCAGCACAATTTGTGATAGCCAAATCTTGGAAACAACCAAGATGCCCATCACCTGAGGAA